CCCATCCAACAATGATGCCCTGGCGAGTTGCATTGATCAGGGAAGTCTGGGAGCTCGCGGTTAAACTGAGCTGGGGGGGACGGGGACAGACGTCAAGCCGAGCATTGCGATCTGCTTGAGCGGTCCCAGGGATCAACCATGATTGCCTTCGCCGATATTTCGATATGGGAGCCCCTTGACAGCTTAACTGGGTCATCTTTGAGCCCTTCTGTGGCAATGGTGGCCTCGAGGGCCCTCTAGGGGTCTTACTGGGTGCCCAGGGGCCGTCTTAGAAGACGTCGATCTGGGAAGAGGAGGATGAATGCGGGCTGCCCTTATTGAGCTCTGAGCTCCAAAAGATGCATCTTTGGGGCCTCTTGAAGCGTCGTTGGACGCCCTCGTCGGCCCATCTTGGGACTCTATTGGGCCATCTCAGAGTATATTGAGCCATCTTGGAGGCCATGGTCGGTTCTCTGTGGCCAGTTTGGAGCCAAGTTGGCCCACCAGTTTCTGAAAGATGCCCCCAGGGTGTCAACGCCGTTGAACACCAGTGGATTTCAATGATGTTGGTGTTGAGCGACGGGGGTTTCATTACTCCTGCCCCGCTTGAGCCCCACACGTCGCCTGTGAGGACCCTCCAGGAGCGCTATTGGGCGCTCTTGGGGCCGTCGCGAGGCCACATTGGACCCGTCTTGGGACTGTCGGGATCTTTTGGGACTCTCTTAAGGCCTCAAAAGCCCATCGCAAGCGAGAAGGCTAGACGGGAAACACATCGACGACCCTTAGGTTGTGGAAGGATGTTGGCCTCTCGGGGACGTCCTGGAGAGGCTCCGTGGCCAACTGGAGCCGTCGTAAGGGGGGGTGTGGTTGCCTCTTGGAGCATGTTGGAAGCCATCTCGGGTAGTGTTTGGATACATTGAGCCAGTTTGAAGATCACCCTGAGCTCTTATGGGACCATCCTAGTGTTAGCCGGGCCTCTCCTTCTACAGGAGGAGTATTCAAACATAGTCATAACATACGCTGGGGACTATTTTCCGACTACTTTTGACTATTGTTGCTTATTTTTACACCATGTCTTAATTTTTACTCGAAAATCCTCGTGTAGGGGGACATGCTCGACCTAATCCTAGAGCCACCTTGTCATCTTGGACGCTCCAACGGCTCGCCGCCAGGCCCAGGCGGAGGCGTTCGGGGAAGGGGTACCCACCCACCCCGAGGGGGAGAATGGGCTTGGGAGAGGGAACGCCCGAGCCACTTCCGCCCAGAGGGCTAGTAGAACTTGGAGCGTCCAGCCGATTCTGGGCACATCGTTTTTGTTGTCGCCCAGTTCTAAGGATCCCAGTCCAGTCTGGAGTATTTCGCTTCCCTGGTTCCGTCGTCCATCAATGTGCCAGTCGACCTTGAGCTGACTCGCCCTCCACCTTATCGTCCAATTCCTACCCATTCTATCCTACTCGTCTTCCCGTCTCGGCAATCCCTTCTCCCGCCTCATTTCGTCCTCATTCCTTCCCCGAATCCCTCGTCATCCTCCCATCATTCCTCTCCCTGCGAGATTATCCCTTCTCTTCCTCCACCTACCGTGCTACTCTACATATTTCCGCTCTTCCTCCCAATATGATGTTGATCCCTCCTTGTCGCCCACTTCCCCTTGCTTATCCTGCAGACTTCCTCGTCCTCCTTCTCCTCCTGCTCTACTTGCTCCGTGTTCTCATCCCTCCTGTTGCTCGATCTGTTCCTGCTCCCCACCGCCCTCCAGGAATGGACAAGGTTGTCATCACCTGGTGCGGGCAAAGCGGGAAGGCGCTGCGAACCCTCAAGGGTCACACGCAGCCTGTCACCTGCCTCTGTTGGCAGCCCCTACATTGTGCCCAGGAGGGATTTCCGCTCCTCGCAACCGCCTCGAAGGACGCCAGCGGTGAACTGAATGAGAAGGGGAGGAAGACGATGAGGAGGAGGAGGAGGAGGAGGAGGAGGAGGAGGAGGAGCAGCAGCAGCCAGAAGGAGAAGAGGGGACAGAAGAAGAGCAGAGCTGGAGGGAAGGAGGGCGGAAGAAGATGCAGGCGGATGTTGAGGGGCAGGCAGGGAGTGCCCGCCGTAGCTTCAGTTGTCTTACGGGCCTGCACCCTCTGGCCGGGCCCCAGGTCGTTCTCACCGGAGAGTGTTTTGATACAGTGGTCTGCGCCCACCCCCGATCGAGGGAGTTGTCTCGAGGTGGAGACGGGGAACGAGCCCGGCCGGATGCCCACGTTCCGTGATGGCAGGGAGGCAGGTGAGGCGGAGTGCCGGCGAGGAAATGGGTTTGCCCGCCGTAGAGTCGGCCCAGATTAGTAGGTCGACCTTGCCAAATCAAGGGTACCCTTGTGTCCTGTGTCTCGCGACCCATGCTTCGTACATTCCTGTGGCAATGTGGCCCTCGGAAGGGTCTTGTGTCCTCTCGCGTGTCCTGTCCAATCGAGTCCGACTGTAGTTGCAATGTTCAGTCGCACGTTGGTCCGACCCGAGCAGTGGAGCAGTGGGATTCAATGCATTCGTCAGTATCGTTTTACCGACCCCCATCCCGATCCCCATCCTCATCCGATCCCCTCCATCTCAGCGTCCCAGTTGGGGATGTACCCCTCGAGACCCGAAGGAAATGACCTGCATCTCCATCTAGGGGGGTGAGTCGGCCAGTGGGGCCCAGGCCGTGCCGTTGGGGATGGGGGTCGGAGAAACGATGCTCAGTTCGGCGTTTACTAGCGTGCGGCGTTTGGAGAGACTCTTTGAGAGTGCCCTCGGATTGACCTTGAGCATTCCGCAGGGGACGCAAGTGAGATGGGTCAAGCAGGAAGCCGCATTAGCGTTCAATGTCTGGAAAGGATCTTTGAGAGTGCCTTTGGATTGGCTTTGAGCATTCCGCACTGGGCGCAGCCATAGTGGGTCACAAAGGCAGCGGGATTGGACACATCAAGTTGTTACTTTCCCCTTCCTCCTCTTCTGCCACTCCCCCTCCCTCTACGGGGATTGACGCCCCTACATGCCTGACGATGGCCTCCCGTCCTCGTCTGGCGCCTCGCTGAGGACGCAAGCGTCCGCATTTGGGACACGTCTTCGGGCACGTCCCTGAGAGCGCTGACGTCGCACTCGGCGCCCGTCATGCAGGCGCGCGGTGTCAACTTCTGGCGGCGAGCGATGAGGGGGAAATGAGAGTGAAAAGGAGAAGGCCGTTTCAGAAGGTGGCGGGACTTCTCAGAAGCCCTCGCGCCTTCTGAGACGTTTTCTGCGTCTTCGGGGAAGGCTCAGAAATTTCTCAGAAGGCCGCGGGACTCCCGAGCCCTCTGAGAAGGCCCGCCCCTTCTCACCTTCCCACTTCTCCCCTGGGCTTGCCGCAGAAACGTCGCCGGGCTGGGTGCGGCGGATGACGAAGAGAAGGGCGGGGTTGGGGGCTTCCAGGAGGTGCCGTACGGGGGCATCTGGGGAGTAGAAGGAGAAGGAGGAGGAGGACTGGAGTAAAACCTGGATGCGTCAACGATGGTGGGGTTCACTCGTCCGTCCGAAGTCCCCCCGTCATGAGTCTTTACAAGCCTCGAGTAGGGGGATCGACTACAGAATTGATTTGCCCCGAAATTGATTTTCCTTCCGAATCCACGAAGACCTAGCGGATTCGGCAGGAAAACTGAAATTTGGAGTACATGAATTATGTAGTCGATCCTCTACTCGAAGCCTATACTCGTTTGTTTTCATTGTGGGGGGCGTCCCCTTGAACGACGAGAGCCCCACGGGCTTGCTATTCAGTGCCGTGCAATCCCATGATGTCTCCAAAGAGGGCCTCATTTCGAGGAGGAATTGCGCTTAAGTCGGGCCTGTCCCTCTACAGGAGGAGGAATATGCAAAAATAGTTTGAAAACATGCTCAGGGGACAATTTCTTTTATATGTTTAAGCATATTTGGAATATTGTTTGGCGTTTTTTTATTTTTCGCCCAAAATCCCCCTGCGGGGGGGCCGGCCCGACCTACAATTGCGCCGTGCACGTGCTTGAATATGCTACACCGCACTAAGTTGAGAGCCAGAGCCTCATTTGGAAGAGCACCCGCCGTCAAGATGCGGATCTACTCGACATTCGTGAAGCGAATGGGCGCGGCGCGAAGACGAAAGCCGCATTTTGACGACGGTCCGCTTTCAACCCGTGGAATTATTGGAACATAGAGTATTCAGGAAGAGGAAGTCTCAGGTGAAACGCCTGGGGGAGGAGGCGGAACGGTGAGGAGGAGGAGGAGGCAAAGGGGAGAGGATGAATATTCAAAACAGGAGGGGGATGAAGAGAATGAGCAGGAGGAGGAGGAGGAAGAGGATTTGTACGAAGAGGGGGTGGAGGAGTCTGAGGCGGACGAAGAGGATGGAAGAGGAAGACGATGAACAGGAAGAAAGAGAAAGGGGACGGGGGAATGAAAACAGACGCGGAGGAGGAGAAGGAGGAAGAGGAGGAGGGGATGCATCGCGGATTTGAATCCCAGGAACTTCTTGGTCCCGAGGGCCAAGATGGTCGTTGTGTCTTTTCTGCAGTTTGGTGAGTATTGATAGTTGGCACGTTTCGCAGCATTTTGCAGCGATGATCGCCGCGCCTGAACAGGTTGGCAGGTGGCATGGTAGTTGTTTTATCAGTGCCTTGATGATGGTCAATGATGTCACATGGGTTCGGTTGGCGCACCGATCCGCCAGTCCAATTGCGTTGCAGCGTGAATCGAAGCGCTCGTGTTGGGGGTGTCGCTCCAGGAGTTGCTATGCGGACCAAAGGTTGCACAGCGGTGCAATCTCCTCGGCGTACAGTGCCATTTTTAATACATGCTCCGCGTGTGGATCATGTATTAAAGATGCAGGGATTTAGTATAAAAAGCAACGATGAGTTCATTCATAAATTTATGCATGAATTAGCCATGTATTAAACATCCTATATGTCTTAAATTCCTATGTATTAAAAACTGCCCTGTGCAGCGCACACAATCGCTCAGACCCGTGTCCTTTCAATATACGCCTCCTGGCCAGTGATGGAGCGAGGTGTTCCATCAGCAATGGTTTTCGATGCGGTCTTGAGTTGAACAGCGTTCTTAGAGTGTCTCCGTAAAGCACCGCGCATGAGGGAGAGAGGGCGTGGAGGAGAGAGAGAGGAGGAAAGCGGCAAGGGGTTCCGGCGTCTCCTTTCGGTATCTTCAAAAGCGTGGACCTGCTGGCCAGGTTGTTCCACGTTCTTTTCGTTTCATCGCCAGGCTGTCAGCTCAGAGTGGCTTCCACGCTCGCCTAGGTTGGTGGTCCATGGGCTCAGAAGTTCCCTCAACTTGGCGGGTGAGGAAGGTGGAGGGAGGGAGGGTCGTCAGAGTTTTTAGGCCAGACTTTCATACGGCCATCCTTGGCCAGACAAACAACAAGTGTTATGAACAAGCATGTTTGAACATTCGTTCCCGCCGTTTGGCCCCAAACAGTGAACATCATGTAATTCTGGACGCGTGCCGGCTACTGGCATTGTCGGCACAACAGGGCATTGCGGCTCTCTTGTGGTGTAAAGTACAATTATCAGCTTCATATTTCCAGAGGTCCCCAGCGGCTTGTGAAGGCTCTTCGAGGCCCGCAGGACAACACATGGTCAAAATTTAGAATTCCTAACCTCTGCGGGGTCCAGTCCTGGCCAGTCGGGGCTGGTGGTGACCACCTGACCAGCGGGCAATCCAGGGCAGCGGTGGGGGGGGCATAGATGTGGTGGCAGTTGCAGGGATTGTTGGCGCAGCAGGGTGGCAGGGCTATCTCGTCGGGGTTGATAGCAGACAGGGGCCCTGGGAGAGGTCCAGGGAGTGGCGGTCGTGGTCCCTTGTTGCTCCCCCAGGGGGGGCACGGCTAGGTGGGGCTACTGACGGATATCGGCGCCCTGGGAGATTCAGGACCATAGGGCTAGTCGTGGTAAGTGGGGGCCAGCGGAAATCGCTAGCGTTCCAAGACATGCAGGTCAATCGTTTTCCAGAGTCAGAACCCGTAAGTGCACTCATTGGTTGGAGACTTGTCCGTTTCGATGCTTTGACTTTTCAGGGGCCCTTCACGGGGACCTCGGAGGATTCTCACGGAATCTACAGAGTGAGGTCCAAGGACGGCAGAGAAGCGTCCAGTGCCGTCGTAACGACATTTGTGAGCGAGTCTGGGCCGACTTCGAGTTCCCTGCCTCGGGGAGGTGCGCCATACAGGTAGTCGAAATAGCAGCGATGGACGCTGTAAAAACACAACAACCCCCTTGTGTGCGTGCGGCTCAGATGCTGACGATTCTACGAAAACTGTCTTGGCTTGTGGGGCTGGCCATGTTTCTCACATGCATGCACCTACATTCTCCACTTGCCAAGTGCATTGCACACTCGCCTCACACCGCATCAAATACGTATATTACGCACACGCCGCAACATAAATCATTCATGATCGTGGTGCTTATGGGGTATTTTATTCAGAACCGTGTTCCGTTAGGCTATCTGAAGCAATGAATTGATCTTAGCATTTGTAATTTTCCCATGTAGCCCCCCAAGGTGCGGTGGTCTGGCGAGCGGTCAGACAAGGGCGGTGCCGTGTACAGTGCTGGGCGCGATTGCGGCATCAAGGTTTGGAGCCCAATCGATGGCGTCATGCTCAGTGAGCTGAAGGGGCATGGGCACTGGGTTAACACTTTGGCTCTGAACACCGATTATTGCATCCGATCTGGGCCCTACACTCACGAAAAGTGCTCCTTCAAAGACCTGGAGGAGAAGCGTGCTGCTGCGCGTGAACGGTACGACGAGACAATGAAATTATGCGGCGGAGAGCGTTTATTGTCTGGCTCTGATGATTTTACGTTGTTTCTATGGAAGCCTCTCGTTTCCAAGTCTCCGATATGTCGGATGACTGGGCACCAGAAGGTTGTGAATCATGTGGCTTTTTCTCCTGACGGGCGTTGGTTCGCCTCTGCTTCGTTTGACAAGTCGGTCAGACTGTGGGATGGACGAACTGGACGGTACGTGCACGCGTTCCGCGGGCACGTCGGCGACGTCTATCAATTGTCTTGGTCTGTTGATAGCAGGACCGTCAGCCAGGGCACAGGGATCGGAGGCCAGTAGAGGACAGACGAGCAGGCCCAGGAAGCGAGAGTTCATCGGATTTGCAACGAATTCCGTCCATCTCCCCACTGCGTTGGGTATCATTGTCTCGGTGTTGCCCCATCAGCTCCACGAGACAGAGAGCGGGATATTGGCATGAAGTTGAGAAACGGGCATCAAGGTCTGAATGCTCTGCTCACAGGCCAGGCAGAAAGAGCAAACCCTGGCGGCAGAATTTCCGCACTGGCATAGGTAGTTGAAGAGTGAAGAGTGAGGGCAGCATTCTACTGTATTGCACCAGGGGGATACCACACAAGAGATCATACGGGAGACCACGCGGGACATTTATATTACGGGAGATCATACGGGAGACTGCAAGGGAGACCACAGGGAGACCAGTCCGGGGTTATACGAAAGACCACACGGGAGAACATGATATCAGACCACACGGCAGACCACCAGGGAAACCATGCCGGTGGCAACACCCGAGACCACACGGGTGGTACAGTGCGGGAGACCATGCGGGAGACTACGGTCCACCGGCTTCGGATCTGGAAAAGCACATATGTGTACCAGGTTGTTAGGGGAAGATTTGTTGTGGTCGAGTTGCCGCGACGACAGGAGTGGCGGAGATCAGTGAAACACAGGAGTCATCAGCCAAACCAAAGCAGTATTTTGTTGACGCGCAGTGTGTACACATATACACATACATCTACACAGATGTTGATATGCACCTGTCGCACGTACATACGTGCATCCCTTTCTATTTCTACATGTGTGCACGCGGTTTATATGCTTAGTACTAGGACACACGTATATGTACATGTGTATGTATGTATATATATATATATATATATATGCATATGTATATGTATACATGTATGTATATATGAATGTATGTACGTATGCATGTACGTCTGTATATATATATATATATATATACATAGATGTGTGTATGCATGCATACTCTCATGTATGTGTGCATGTATGTATGTATGTATGTGGGTTTGTATGTAGGTATGTATGTATGCATGTGTGCATGCATGTATGTATGTATGTATGCCTATGTCAGAAGACATATATTCATAAGTACATAGATGTATACACACACTTGTCATATTCAGTGCACCACAATAACTAACTTCTTGAAGGCCCCTCGCAGCCATATTCGGGCTCTCCTGGGCCCACTTGGAAACCGTTTGGTCCCTCCTGGGGCCCTATCGAAGGATTTTCTAAGCCTTAGGGAACCAGGCTGGAGGCCATCGGTGAAACAGGAGCGGGGGCAATTGGCGTCCCACCTTTTTGACCATGAAAGGTGGCACTCTTAGGCAGCCTTTGGGACCCTCCTGGGTATCTTGTTGTCCCCTCTTGCCTGAATGCCGGGAAGATATCCTCGGGAGGTTCGGGGAGCCCGTCATATCAATTCATTCGCAGTGGGCGCTCCAACGCGCCGCGGAACCCCCTGTCCAGGTCAGTGGGGAGGGGGTAGGGGGAGGGGTAAACCCCTCCCCGAAGGGGAAGAAGGAGGGGTGGAAGAGGAAACTCCTTAAACCACCGACGCCCTAAAGGGCTGGTGGGATTTGCAAAGGATTCTGGCATCGGGAGCGCGAGCCAAGTATCGAAGACGCCTACGGAGAATCACCGCCGCCCCCTGCCTTTTTGGAAGCGCCTGCGTGGCCGAAAGTTGGGTTTGAGCTTTTCCCAGCTATCGGGCCACGCGTTCCCCGAGTGGGTTTCGAAAGCCTTCGGGGAACGCGGAGTCGGGGGAGCTATCGGACCAGGTGGTTTCCGAGTTCTCGCGATTCCTGGAGGACGTTTTGGAGGGGTCTTGGACAGTCTTGGAGGCCTCTGGCGGGCCTTTCGGGCAGTCTAAGGCCATCTTCAGGCCATCTGGGGCCGTCCTGGGTGCATCTTGGGGCCATCTTCGCCGTTTTGGAGGCCTTCTTGGCCATCTTGGAGGCATCTTGGAGGCCATCTTGGCCGTCTTGGAGGCCATCTTGGGCGTCTTGGGGGCCTCATGGGCTGTCGTGGGGCCATCTTGGAGGCCTCTTGGGCGCTCTTGGGACGATGTTTGGGGCCTCTTGGGCCGTCTTGGGCCGTCGGAGAGCTGAAAAGAAGAACATGCGAAATCTTTCAAAAACTTGTAGGAAATCAATAATGTGTGCCCTTTCGGGCCTTCCCGGAGGACGTCTTGGAGGCCTCTTGGGGGCCTCTTGGCCAGTCTTAGGCCATCTTGGAGCCATCTTGGGCCGTCTTGGAGGCTTCTTGGACGAACTTGAAGGCATCTTAGACTTTCTCGGGCCGTCTTGGAAGCCATCTTGGACCATCTTTGGCGACTTGGAGGCCATCTTGGAGACCATCTTGGGCCAACGTGGTCATCTTGGAGGTCATCTGGAGCTGTCTTGGAGGATTTTTCGCGGTCGTTGAGGTCCCTTTCGGGTGGCCGGCGGGACGGGCCGACAACAGGGGTGCCCGGCGTGCTAGACCCTTTCGGTTTTGGTTTCGGTTTTTTGTCCAGAAGAACTCCCCGTGTGGCTTCGGCCCACCCCGCCGGATCTCAATCCCCCAAAAAATCCCCCAAGTCGGCTCAAGATGGCTTCCAAGATGGCCACGTTGGCCCAAGATGGCCTCCAAGATGGTCCAAGACGACCTCCAAGTCCGCCCAAGATGCTCCAAGACGGCCTAAGATAGCCTTAAGATGGCCCAAGACGGCCCACGAGCCCCCTAAGAGGTCTCCAAGACAGCCCAAGAGGCCTCCAAGAGGTCCTCCAGGAAGGCCCGACGAGACCAAAATCATTTATTTTCTTTAGGTTGTTGAATCATTTGGGCATTTTCGCTTTTTCGGCCCTGAGATGGCCCCAAGATACCTCCAAGACGGCCCAACATGCACCCAAGACGGCCTGAGATGGCCTCCAGATGGCCTAAGACGGCCCAAGAGGCCCTCAAGAGGCCTCCAACACGGCCCAAGAGGCCTCCAAGACGTCCTTGAGGAGGGCCCGAAGAGGCCAAAATCATTGATTCGAAGGATTTTGGCATTTGCTTCTTTTCGGCATTCCGACGGCTCAAGACGGCCCAAGAGGCCCCCAAGATCGCCCACGAGGCCTCCAAGATGGCCAAATGACGGCACAAGAGGCCCCCAAGACGGCCCCAAGAGGGCCCAAGAGGCCTCCAAGATTGCCAAAATGGCCTCCAAGACGGCTAAGATGGCCCCAAGATGCCTCCAAGATGGCCCAAGATGCACCCAAGACGGCCTGAGATGATTTCAAGATGGCCCAAGACGGCCCAAGATGCCCCCAAGAGGCCTCCAAGGCGGCCCAACAGGCGTCCAGGAGGTCTTCAATGAGGGCCCGAAGAGGCCAAAATCATTGATTGTATTTAGGTTTTTGACGGATTTGGCATTTGCTTCTTCTCGGCTTTCCGACGGCTCAAGACGGCCCAAGAGGCCCCCAAGATCGCCCAAGAGGCCTCCAAGATGGCCCGATGACGGCCCAAGAGGCCCCCAAGACGGCCCCAAGAAGGTCCCAAGACGGCCCAAAAGGCCTCCAAGACGCCCAAGATTGCCTCTAAGAACCCCTGATATGCCCCAAGAGGGCCCCAAGACGAGTTGAAATGTGTCGCTTGGTTGCGGTTGCGGTTGCGCGGGCGCGGGCGGGTTGAAATGTGTGGCCTGGTTGCGATTGCGGTTGCGTGCGCGGGCGGGTTGTCGTTTGATGCGGTTGCGGTTGCGGTTGCGCGGGCGGGTTGAAATGTGTCGCTTGGTTACGGTTGCGGTTGTGGATGCGCGGGCGGGTTGAAATGTGCCGCTTGGTTGCGGTTGCAATTGCCCGCGCGGGCGGCTTGAAATGTGTCGCTTGGTTGCGGTTGCGGTTGCGGTTGCGCGGGCGGGTTGAAATGTGTTGCTTGGTTGCGGTTGCGGTTGCGTTTGCGCGGGCGGGTTGAAATGTGTCGTTGGGTTGCGGTTGCGGGAGCGGTTGCGCGGGCGGGTTGAAATGTGTCGCTTGGTTGCGGTTGCGGTTGCGTTTGCGCGGCCGGCTTGAAATGTGTCGCCTGGTTGCGATTGCGCTTGCGGTTGCGTTGGCGGGTTGAAATGTGTCGCCCGGTTGCGATTGCGGTTGCGCGGGCGGGTTGAAATGTGTCGTTTGGTTGCGGTTGCGGTTGCGCGGGCGCGGGCGGGTTGAAATGTGTCGCTTGGTTGCGGTTGTGGTTGCGGTTGCGCGGGTGGGTTGAAATGCGGCGCTTGGTTGCGGCGGCGGTTGCGCGGGCGGGATGAAATGTGTCGCCCGTTGGCGGTTGCGGTTGCGCATGTGCAGGCGATTTGACATGTGACGCTTGGTTGCGGTTGCGGTTGCCCGCGCGGGTGGGTTGAAATGTGTCGTTGGGTTGCGGTTGCGGTTGTGGTTGCGGTTGCGCGGGCGGGTTGAAATGTGGCGATTGGTTGCGTTTGCGGTTCTGGAAGCGCGGGCGGGTTGAAATGTGTCGCTGGGTTGCGGTTGCGGTTGCGGTTCCGCGGGCGGGTTGAAATGTGTCGCTTGGTTGCGGTTCCGGTTGCGCGGGCGGGCGGGTTGAAATGTGTCGCTTGGTTGCGGTTGCGGTTGCGGTTGCGCGGGCGGGTTGCAATGTGTCGCGTGGTTGCGGTTGCGGTTGCGGTTTCGTGGGCGGGTTGAAATGTGTCGCCTGGTTGTGGTTGCGGTTACGCGCGCGGGCGGGTTGAAATGTGGCGATTGGTTGCGGTTGCAGTTGCGGTTGCGCGGGCGGGTTGAAATTTGTCGCCGGGTTGCGGTTGCGACTGCGGTTGCGCGGGCGGGCTGAAATGTGTCGTTTGGTTGCGGTTGCGGTTGCGGTTGCGCGGCCATGTTGAAACGCGTCGTTTGGTTGCGACTGCGCGTTCCCGCGAGCGGGTTGGCATGTGTTGTCAGATGAACTCTCCTAACGTTCAGTCAGGCAGTCAGTCAGTCTGTCAATCACCTGCGGGTACGGAATTTCACCTGGCTCCACTGGGAACTAAAGGGGCTCCTTTCGGGCCCCATGGGGACCTCGATTCTAGGGCCCGACGAGGGTACCGTCCCCCCCACCATCGATGGTTCCCCACTAATTCGCACCCAAATGATTCTCGCCGTCAGTCATCGGAGCAGGACGTGTTCAAGCATTTCCCCGTTGTTCTGTGTTCCGCTTGCCGACGTTTAGGGACCGCCCAGGTCGTTTCCATACTGCACCAAGGGGACGACCAAGCTGGCCCAAGAGGCCTCAAGACGGCCCAGGGGTTTTATAGGTGGCCGATGATGAGAAAGAGGCTGTGGAGTCCGATAAGAAAACAGAGGCCGCAGGCGGGGGATGATAATGCGAATATTGATTCCCAAAAAAAGAAATGTAGGAACAGGTAGAAGAGGAAGAGGAGGAGGATGAGGAGGAGGAGGAGGAGGGCGGATGGAATGAGGAGGCCGACGGCGAAAATGGAACCACCCATCTTCAGCCGCTGCTCTCTTCATCCTTATTGCCCTCCCCAGATAATTCAAAAACGGGCCAAGAGGCCTCCAAAATGGCCCCAACACGTCCCAAAGCGTCGTGTCCCCCAACAGTTATCCAGGAATTTGATTGTCGTCGCCAGTCGAAGGAGGAGGAAGACGAGGAGGAGGAGGAGGGGGAGGAAGAGGACGAAAACGGGGGACGGGTGTGGAAGCAGAGGACGAACATGAGAAGAACGAGGAACGAGGAGGAGGAGAAGGGACAACACATGAAGAGGCGAAGGAAAAAGCAGGAAAAGGAAACCTTACTCATCCGTTGATCCATTCGTTCCCTTTTCCCGTTTTCCCCCTTTTGCTTCTCCTGCGTCCTTTGTTACTTGCCTCCCCCCTTCCATCCCATCGTTCCCCTTCCCGCGACCCGACGACGCCGACGCCGCCGTCGACGGCGACGACCCCATTCCCGCATTAGTGGCTTCCAGGATTGCACGCCTGCCATGGAAGCGGAGGGGGATAGCGAAAACCCCGAATCATCAGGGCTGTGGGGCGGTCCGGGGTAAGTACGGATTCGCGCCTCGGGGGCCCGAACCGGAGACAGCCTGGACCGCAGTTGCACCGGAGAATTCGAGCGTCGAGCCCGGCCCGAATCATCAGGGCCGTGGGAAGGCGGGGGCAACTGCAGATTCGCGCCGCGGGGGCCAAGCCAGACCGCATATGTCCTGGATGCTACGGGTGCCCAAGACCAAAAAGATGTGGTGATGAGGACGAGTTCTTCTGAATTGACTAGAACCTAACACGCGTGGCGCGCGCATGCTTGCAGTGTGTATCTCTGTTTCTTTATTTCTACATTCTCGAGCCCTGCGACCCCCCCCCAGTAAACGGGACCCCCAGATCCGTGGCTTCGGGTTCCCTTGAACGCCTCTGCAGAAGGCCCCACGAGCGAACTTCCCCAAACGGTCAGGACGGCGGCCGAGCGCCCCCCGCCCGACAACGACCGAAGGATCACCCGCAAGGGGCCTCCGAAATACAGATAAACCATGGATGGCGAGGCTGATTTTTGCTGTATGATGTTGGGGCTGATTTGTTGTTTCTGTTTTGGTGGCGTCCGAGGCCGCCCGAGGCGCCCGAACATCAAGCCAAAACAACCCGAAAGGGCGTCCACGCAGTCCCAGAGACCCCCACAACGGCCCAGCACGGCCCCATGGTGGCCCGAAAAGAACGCCATGACGGCCCAAGATGGACCCAACACGCCCCCGAAGCATTCCAAATCGTGACTAGGTCGTTCAGGGATACAGCAGTTGGAAGCAGGGTGGCCCGAGGAAACAACACAAAAAAACAGAAGGCGCCCAGGAAGTCCCGAAGAAGCCTTGTACACCTTGCGTGGGGCCCCCAAAGAGCTCTCCAGGGAGGAGCTTCCGCAAAAAAACGGAGGACGATGAACAATCCGCAGGGGAGGGCGATCATGCAGGAGACGAAGAGGGTACATGATGGAAACAACGACTCGTATTGGTACAGCGACGATGTTTAACGATGCACTGAGGAGTCATCGTTGTTTGTTCCGTTGTGCTTTCCTGCCCTCGGCCGCGACGTCCGCCTGTATGCCGCACTTCAGGGACCAACGTGCGTGGCGCAAAGCGCCAGCGTCGTCTTGTACATATATGTACGGGTTGATTGTAATGTATCCACATATATACAGATGCGTAGACGGATGTGCATATATATATATGTGTATATATGTATATAGAGATATGTGTGTGACCACACACACATCTATATATATATATATATATAGGTACGGGGCAAATCAACGCGCAGACCGAGGTGTGAAGGCAGCAAGCAGAGATTGCTCACACATAAGAGTTATATTTATATACATGTTAGACACATGCATAACCACCACATGTGTGTGTGCATATATATATACACATCTATACATAAAGACATATATATATATACAAGACTGCATTGGCGCTGCGCGCCATGCACCTTGGTCCTTTGAGTTCCGCACGCAAGCGGAATGCGTGCGTGCGTACATGGGCGCGTGCATGTATACACGCGCGCGCGCATGCACGTTCCGTATATATGTCTAGGTGCATACAATAATCTGTCATTGTTGTGTGTATACAGCGTACATATGTACATATAAATATATGTATGTAAGCGTATGAACATGCATAAGCAACTCGTACGTGCTTTGTCGGTGCACGCCCATATTTACCTATATATCCATGTATATGTATATAACTATGGATTCGCATACACATGCGTATCTCAGACGGTAGTGGCTTGACCAGTTGCTCGGGGCATCTCGCAACTGAAAGGTGCGAGGGTCTCAGGCGAACATGGCCATATTCCCATAGGACAATGCATCGCCGGGGTCAGTGTGCGAGGATGTCTCAAGTGAAAATGGCCTGAGCACTTCCGCTCAGGACAGACCGGAGCTCAGTGACGCGAGGATGTCTCAAGCGAAAGTGGCGGAATACCATGGGGCAGGGCATCTCGGAACCCAGAGCTGCGAGAACGTTTCTAGCGAAAGTGCCCCGAACACCTCAGCTCAAGGAGCCCTGGAACGTAGAGTTGCGAGAAAGTCTCAAAGCCGAAGTGGCTGGACCACCTTGGGGCAGGGCTTCTCCGAGGTCAGAGTCCAGAGGAGGTCTCAGGCCACAGTGGTCTGATTTCCTCAGCTCAGCCGTGCGAGGAAGTCTCAAGCGAAGAGCGGTCTGAACACCTCAGCTCAGGGCATCCAGAAATCCAGAGTTGCGAAAAGTCGCAGGCGAAAGTAGGCTAACCACGATGGTGCAGGGCACCTCCGAAGTCAGACTTGCGAGACTGTCTCAGGCGAAATTGGCCTGAACACCTCAGGCCAGGGCGTCTCGGACTCCAGAGTTGCGAGGATGTCTCAGGCGAAAATGGCGGGACCACTGCGAGGCAAAGCGTTTCCGAAGTGAGAGTTGTGAGCATACCTGGGCGAAGCGGATCTCACGACTCCCTCCTCCTCCCCCTCTTCGTTTTCTGTCTGGGTGATACTCGCCAGTCGTCCTCCGCACTCCCCTTGCGTATAATTCCCTCTTCCTGTTTCTTCATTTTCTTATTCGCGTTCTCCTGGTCCACATCCTCTTCCTCCTCCTCTCCTCCTCATCCTCCTCCTGAGTTGCCGGCCGGGCCGGGCCGAGCACAGCCGGCGGGCTGGCCGAAACGGGGACGACGACGATAACGACGACGATTACGACAACGAACGACGACGACGACGACGTGTGGACGGCTGGCGCCCTCCCGGGGCGCCCCTCCCGGCCACGAGGACGACGACGACGACGACGACGACGGCGACGGCGACGACGACGGCAGCGACGGCGACGACGACGACGACGATATTGCAGCAGTCGACGAGCTATTTGGGGCGGGCATTCTCGGGCATCTTCGCTGCATGCCAAAAATTTCAACGACTGGGTCACAATGTGGAATGCCACGGGAGCAAAATCAACGAATGTTGGCATTCGGGAACATCGTGGGGGTGTTTTCGGGGCCCTCGTGGGCCGTTTTGGCGCCTTCATGGGCCGTCCTGCGGCCTTCTTGGGCCGTCTTGGGGAGCTTGGGCCCGCTGGAGCCCCCTTTGGACCCATCTTGGGCACTGCCGGGGACCTCCCATGGCCCTTTTGGGTCTGTGCTGGGAGCCCTTGGGGGGCCTCTTGGGTCCATCATGGGCTGCCTTGGGGCTCTTGTGGGCGATCGTGGGGCCCGGCTCGGCCGTCTTGAAGCATTCTTGGGGGCCTTTTGGGGCGTCTTGAGGCGATCGCGGGGGCTTTGAAGCCGTCTTGAAAGCTGATGAAATCCGAAAGGCGAATATGCTAAAATTGTTTTACGAAGGGAATGGGACGATTTTTGTGTTTTGAGGGCCTCTTGGAAAGCTTGTTGGGGTGCCTTGGGGGTCTTTTGGGCCGTCCTGAAGCAATTGGAGTCCCTCTTGGAGCGCTCTTGTGCTGTCTGGGGCCTCCCTTGAGCCTTTCTGATGACCCCTCTGATCGCTCTGGGTCTGCTGGCAAGGCGTTTGTGGAGACCCGGAAAGCCGGGTGACCTTTTCCAAGGACGTCCAAGGGAGCCCGAGAACCCCAGGTCCCCGGGATCCAGTTTTTCTGTTTGTTTGGGTGGGGGGATGGTTTTTCCACCCTTTCCGGGCTTGTAAAAATATAGGAAGAGGAATAGGTACATACACACGATTCATATTTTTGTCATAGGGCCGGGGACCCCGGAAAGAGCGCACCCCCCCTGACACCTCCCCCCCTAAACGAATTTCGAATCTTCGGGCCTGTCTTGCGCCGTGGGTTTCCTCTGATTTCTGACTCTCCGCGCCCTCTTGGGCCAGCCTTAAGCCTCTTTGAGGCTCGTCTGGGGACTCATTTGGAGCCATCCTGGGGCGATCTTGACGCCTCAAGAGCCGATCGTAAGCGGAAAGGCGAGAAGACCAACAACCACGATTTTCCAATGGGTTTCCATTGAAGTTCCGTAGCCATTTGGCTCAAGGTTCGACTCGTGGCCCAAGTTTGGATCTGTGCACCCGCCCGTCGTGTGCGTCCGACCGCTTGTTACACCTCGCAGCCATGGGCGAGGAGGAGGTCGCCGCCTTGGTCGTGGACAATGGTAGCGGCATGTGCAAGGCCGGCTTCGCGGGCGACGACGCGCCGCGCGCCGTGTTCCCCTCCATCGTCGGCCGCCCGAAGATGCCGGGCATCATGGTCGGCATGGACCAGAAGGACAGCTATGTTGGCGACGAGGCCCAGAGCAAGCGCGGCGTCCTCACCCTGAAGTACCCCATCGAGCACGGCATCGTGACCAATTGGGACGACATGGAGAAGATTTGGCACCACACCTTCTACAACGAGCTCCGAGTGGCCCCAGAGGAGCACCCGGTGCTCCTCACGGAGGCTCCCCTAAACCCCAAGGCGAACCGCGAGCGCATGACGCAGATCATGTTCGAGACATTCAACGTGCCTGCGATGTACGTCGCGATCCAGGCAGTGCTCTCGCTCTACGCCTCCGGCCGCACCACTGGGATCGTCATGGATTCTGGCGACGGCGTGTCGCACACCGTCCCCATCTACGAGGGCTATGCGCTGCCGCACGCGATCCTGCGTCTGGACCTGGCAGGGCGAGATCTCACGGAGTACCTGATGAAGATCCTCACCGAGCGGGGCTACTCCTTCACCACCACAGCCGAGCGGGAGATCGTGCGTGACGTCAAGGAGAAGCTCTGCTACATCGCGCTTGACTTCGACACCGAGATGAAGGCCGCTACGGAGAGCTCCGACAAGGAGAAGACGTACGAACTTCCCGACGGAAACATCATCACTGTGGGCAGCGAGCGTTTCCGTTGCCCCGAGGTGCTCTTCCAGCCTAGCTTCGTTGGCAAGGAAGCTAGCGGCATCCACGACACCACCTTCCAGTCGATCATGAAGTGTGACGTCGACATCCGCAAGGATCTGTACGCCAACGTTGTCCTGTCCGGTGGCACGACAATGTTCCCGGGCATCGGCGAGCGCATGACCAAGGAGCTGACGGCGCTGGCGCCCTCCACGATGAAGATCAAGGTCGTGGCTCCGCCCGAGCGCAAGTACTCAGTGTGGATCGGTGGGTCCATCCTTTCCTCGCTGAGTACCTTCCAGCAGATGTGGATCTCCAAGGGCGAGTATGACGAGTCGGGCCCCACCATTGTGCACAGAAAATGCTTCTGAAGGTTGGTCCTCAAGAGGTTTTGATAGCCAGCCAAGCTCGAATCGCCAGGCGTGTTGGATGGAGGTTGTCAGCTTGCCTTACGCTCCAAGGTTCACACTGGCGCTGACGGCGCGAATTCGCAGTGGCTGCACAGGCGGTCAGACGGATGCAAAGACAGCTGCGGAGGTCTTTGGTCTCCAGAGCTGTTTTTCCAGTCGCGTTTGCGCGGGTCGTATTCTTGGTTCGCAGGCCCTTTTCCTTAGAGTCTGCCCCAGGGGGCACAAATTACACGGCACCCGAGTTGGACGCCACCAGCGGAGAAAAAAAAATGGGTTCCCATGGAATATCGATTATTTGGGCCTTCCTCGGCCAGCCTTGGGCCTCTGTGGGCCTCGGCTTGCGCCTCTCTGGAGCCATCCTGGGGCTATCTTGACGCCTCCCGAGCCGACCGGAAGCGAAAAGGCGAGAATACCGAAAACAGCGTTTTTCCGATGGTTTTTTTGAAAATTGATTTTCGAACCTCCGGGCCGTCCAGGGCCAGTCTGTGTCCTCTCTGGGGCTCGTCTGGGGACTCATTTGGAGCCGTCCTGGGCCAATCTTGATGCCTCAAGAGCCAATCGGAAGCGACAAGGCGAGAAGACCAAAAACATTGAATTACCAATGGGTTATCACATACTTTCACTCCGTTGGGCCCTCTTCGGCCAGCCTTGGGCCTCTGTTGGCTTCGGCTTACGCCTTTCTGAGGCCATGCTGGGGTCATCTTGACGCCTCTCGAGCCAACCAGAAAAAGCGAGAAGGCCGAATACATTGCTTTTCCAATGGGTTGGTTTCATATGATTTTCGACTCTCCGGGCCCTCTTGGCCCAGCCTTAGGCCTCTTTGGGGCTCGTCTTGGGACTCATTTGGAGCCGTCCTGGGGCTATCTCGACGCCTCAAGAGCCGATCGTAAGCGGAAAGGCGAGAAGACCAAAAACATTGTTTTCCCAATGGGTTTTCATTGATGTTCTATTTTCGTTGGCTTTCTTGGGCCACTCTTGGGCCTCTTTGGGGCTCGGGGCCGGCAGCACAGCAGCGCGCATGCCGAAACAACATGTTTTGTAGGAGGTGGAGGAAGAGGAGGAGGAGGAGGAGGAGGAGGAGGAGGAGGAGGTAGAGGAGAAGGAAGAGAAGGAGGAGGAGGAGGAGAAGGAGGAGGAATTAGAGGAACAGGGGGAGAGAGGATCGCCGGAAACAGATTCGCGCCTCTGGGACCCGAAACGCCCTGAGATGGCCTCCTCTGGTGTTGTCTGGTCGATCTCGCTCAGGAATTCTTCACCCATTCCGACTTGGCGGTGGCCCGCCCCATGTCCACGCGTTCGCACGCCGCCTGCATTCGAAACTATAAGGAGCAAGGTGCATGGCGCGAAGTGCCAATGCATTCTTGTATATAGAGATAGATACATACACACCTACATGCATACATGCATGCATGCATGCATGCATACATACATACATGCATACATACATACATACATACGTACACACATACATACATACGTACATGTATGCATACCCATGCATTCGCATGTGCTGCCCCAGGGTCCCCAAGGAATTCTGAGAACCCCGGAGGCCGTGGTATCCAAGGCGATGTTCGGCTCTTCCCCACACCTTCGTGCGGACCAAGGACAATCTACGGAACGAAGCAGACATCGCACTATAGCACTGGAGGCTGGAACCTGGAGGTTGCATTTGAGATGCCACGGGGGCCGAGGAGCTCAAGACCGGCATCTGCTAGTGCAGCCCAGCCCTCGCAGCCTGGGGCGAGTGTGGTCGGCGAATTGTCGCAAGAAGGGAAGAGGAGTGATGACGCACGCGTGGTTTTCCCGAATGCCCTACACGGGATCCCCGCAATGTATCACCACACCGAGTCCCCCTCTGTGGCTCCAGTATTGGCCCAACCAGAGACCCACTGCACTTCATGAATTTGGCCCACCAGTGATCGTCGAATAGATCACCTCGTCATTGCAGCGCGGTGGTGCGAATGACAAGGTCATTAGCGTGAAAGCAGGTGATCACTAGTGTGTCCAAGGCGGCTTCTGTGAGGCTGGACCCTGCATGAGGAGGGGGCGGGGTGTGGGATGGAGGGGGGTGGAAGGGAGGAGGAGGAGGACGAGGAGGAGGAGGAGGAGGAGGAGGAGGAGGAGGGCTTGGAGGATGGGGACTGGAGTAAGGGCGAGGGGGTTTGGAGGGAGCACGCTGAAGGGGCTTTAGAGGAAGGGGGAGAGTTGGAGGGTCCGCAGAGGGGCGATAGAGTAAAATTAGTCAGAGTGGAAGAGCTGGCCTCCCGCGTTTCAGTCCCTTGTCTCCCCTACTTTTCACCACCTCTCTCTTCCGTGTCGGCGCGTCGCTTTGCCCCGAGGATGTTGATCAGCGGCTCCAAAGATTCGACGGTGAAGTGCTGGAACGTGGGCACTCGGAAACTCCAGGAGGACTTGCCAGGCCACGCGGACGAGGTCCACACTTGCAGCGCAGCCAGGGCGTGTTTCAGCTTTCCAGGAGGAAGAGGAGGAGAGGGAGCAGAAGGATGAGGAGGAGGAGAAGGACGAGGAAGAGGAGGAGGAGGAGGAGGAAAAGCAGGAGGAGGAGGAGGATCGAAGGTCCAGGATCCCAGGTTTTCTTTGCCGTGTCTCCAGAGGTCTCAAGAGGCCTCCCGGCATCCCCGCTCGTTCCGCTTCTCGACTTGCGGCTGATGAGGCTCGGGAGTCCAGTGCGACTCCCCGAGTCTACCTCCGATTCCTCCGGCTGGAATCATCACTACCAGATTGGGCCGACGGCAAGATGACCTCCTTTTGCACCCGCACGCCGCGTCTCGATGGTCACCGGCCTGCTTGAAGCGACAGGGGTGATGGCGACACGGGCGGGGTGCAGCGGGAGACCGCCCCTCCCCCGACTGTCCCCACGAGGCGAGGAGAAGGGGAAGGAGGAAGAGGAGGAGAAAGACGACTGCGGCGAGAGGTCCGGGCGCACCCCTGTCGAGCACGGGCGCCCCCACATGTTTTGGCGCGCGCAGTCGATGACCACGAAGTCGGAGATTGGGGTCGCCACCAGGGGGAGGGTTCGAAAAGGTAGCCGCGGGTCGCGCGTCACGGCCTCTTCCCTGGGGGCGGGGGGCAGAGCGTGATGACGTGACAGAGTCAATGAACCAGCAGCAGCTGAGCAGACGACAGTATGGTTAACGCCTGCTTGCGTCACGAAGCTTGGAAGGAAGGGGGAGGGGGAGGAGGAGGAGGAGGAGGACGAGGAGGAGGAGGAGGAGGAGGAGGCATACCCCTCCCGCTCCTCTCCCACTCCCCTGCACTCCCCCCCTCCCCTCCCCCGAGGACCCGGCAGGTCCCAGCCCTCTCTCCCCTCCGCTCCCCGCCCTCCGTCCCCCCCTCCACCTCCCCCGGCTCCCCAAATCGCCCCTCTCCTCCCTCCTTTTCTGCTCTTCTCACTCCGACCCCACCGCCCTCCCAGGTCTTCGCCGTGGACCCGGGGGCGCCGCAAACGCCGCCGCAGTGCTGGGAGGGCGGGGGCACGCGAGGGGCACCACGCCCTTGTGCGCTCCTCCTCCTCCTCCTCCTCCTCCTCCTCTCTCTCCTCCTCCTCCTCCTCCAGACCTCATCCATCCTCTCTCCCAATTCTCACTCATCCCCCCCCTACCTCTCGTACTCCCTCCCCCTCATCCCCCTAATTCCCCTCCCGTCTCACTCCCCCTCATTCCCCCCTCCCCCCTCCCGCTCCTGCTGCGCTCGCACCGAGGCTGCTGATCCTCGCTGCCATCGTCGCCGCGTCCCCCGCCGGGCGCCCACTGCGAGAGGGTGGAGGAGGCAGGCACCTGCCTGCCCCTCCTCCGCCCCCGGCCCCCATCCTTCCTCGAGTCCTGCTCCTCCACGTCCGCCTCCTGCCTCCTGCCTCGAGTCCTCCTCCGCCTCTGCTTCCTTCCTCGAGTTCTCCTCCACCGCTTCCGCTTCCTGCCGCCTTCCTCGAGTCCTCCTCCTCCGCTTCCGCCTCCTGCCGCCTTCCTCGAGTCTTCCTCCGCTTCCCTTCTCACTCCCCCTCCTCCGCTTCCGTCTCCTAGGCTCTAGCAGGGTGTTCGGGCATCGCGTGCGCTCGCTCTCTCAGTGGCATGGGCGTGGTGCTCGTGCAGCCCGTGGAAGATCGTGCCGACCTCGGCCCTGCAGAGCTTGCACGTCCCGCACGTTGCCAGACCATGGCGCCGGAGCCTCTCCCGGCACCAGTGCGTGCTGTCCACGCGGGCCCGGAGGGTGTGTTCCGCTGCCCTTCCCTCCAGTTGTGCGCCGAGCCCCACGCAGCGGCCGCAGGGCCAGCCGGCTGACCAGCTGCCCCCAGCGGAGCGCCCCACGCACTCAGCCGTGGCCTCGCACGCCGATGGCATGCAGTCGAAGGCACGACAGGCGGCTTCTTGGGTTATGTCGGGCCTGTCCCCCTACAGGGGGATTTTCGAGGAACAAAAAACAATGATCCGAAAATACCCCAAAAGGGTCAAACAAATATTCAAAAAATAGTCCCCAGACTATTTGTGGACTATCTTTTGACTATTTTGGGGGGTATTTTTTTATTTTTTCGTCGACAATCCCCCTGTAGGGGGACAGGCCCGACTTAATTCTTGGGCGAGGCGGGCAACCAGACCCGGAGCCGTGCCCAGCAGGTCCAGCCTCAGGAGGGGAAAAAAACATACAGACGCAATTAATCGTCGACCCCCAGGAAGATATGGGAAAATATGGGAAGTGGGGGGGAAGACAGAAACCCAGAAAATATGGGAAATATGGGGGATCTTTTGATTTGTGTGTATTTATTTGTGTGTCCCGGTTCCCCCTCACAGCCGTGCGCCGGTGTCGGAGGCTGCCACGGCCTCGCCCTCGGAGCGCCAGCCGCACCGGCCCAAAGGCCGCAGCGCCAGCGTGGGCCTCGGGCGCGGGAGGCGGCCCGGGCGCGCCGTGGCGTCTGGCGCAGCGCGTTTGCCGAGCATTGGAGAGGCCTGACGGCCGGTGCCGCCGACCCTGGTCGAAAGGGCTAGGAGTGGGGGGAGGAAGCGGAGGAGGAGGAGGAGGAGGAGGAGGAGGAGGAGGAGGAGGAGGAGGAGGAGGAGGAGGAGGAGGAAGGAGGAGGAGGAGGAGGAGGAGGAGGAGGAGGAGGAGGAGGAGGAGGAGGGAGGAGGAGGAGGAGGAGGAGGAGGAGGAGGAGGAGAGGAGGAGGAGGAGGAGAGGAGGAGGAGGAGGAGGAGGAGGAGGAGGAGGAGGAGGAGGAAGGAGGAGGAGGTGAGGAGGAGGAGGAGGAGGAGGAGGAGGAGAGGCAGGAGGAGGAGGCGGAGGAGGAGGAGGAGGAGGAGGAGGAGGAGGAGGAGGAGGAGGAGGAGGAGGTGAGGAGGGGAGGAGGAAGGAGGAGGAGGAGGAGGAGAGGAGGAGGAGGAGGAGGAAGGAGGGAGGAGGAGGAGGAGGAGGAGGCGGAGGAGGAGGAGGAGGAGGAGGAGGAGGAGGAGGAAGTGCATCCTTTGTGTGCTGGCGTCTGGCGCAGCGCTTCTGCCGAGCATTTTCTTTGGGTGGAGGGCAAAGGGTGAAGTCTGAAGTGCCGTTTCGATGGATGTTCGAGGTTTGGATCTGCATCTGCAAAGGGTGAACCACAAGACGGATTGGCTTTCGAGGTGCGAAAGCCCATGTGGATTTCAGCCTGAGCCCTTGACCCTTAGAAAATGCTCAGTTCTGGAGGTTCCCGCGCGGCGGCAGACCCTCCCAAATTGCGCGCGCGCCCACTGCTGCGCCACGGCCCACGCGGTGACGGCCAGCGGATCCGGGCTGACGAGGTGCCCGAGCAGGGCGAGCCGCAGTCCGACCGAGGCGCCCGTGGCCACAGGCCGAGAGCTGCGCAGAGCCTGCACCCGGGGGGCCGGCGCAAGACCGCACGAGGCCACGCGCGCGGCGCAGGGCAACGGGGTCCTCTTCTCGGGCCGGACGAAAGGGGGGGATTGGGAAAGGGGGGGTGACGAAATTTGTTGCATGCAGCTGGTTTCGGCCACACCGAGGGGCCCATTCCTCGATACATAGCCGCATCTGGCGCCGGGAAAATCAGCTACGTGAGCTGATTCTCAAACCCCCCCTTTGCTATCCCCCCCTTTGGCCCGACCCGATCTTCACAGACATCGGCACGTGAAGCTGCCCGCGTAAGGTCGCGCGTAAGCGCCCTCGTTTCCAGTGTGGCGTGCCGCGCTGGCGGCCCGCGTACGGGTAGGCTCGCGTCGTGTCGACCGACGGCGGCCCCGCCGCCGACGCTCAACTTTGAGCGCCGCCGGCGACCAAGAATCGGTCAATGTTGACCGAGCTGACGTTTCGGATACGCCCGATCGCTCAAGGCTGAACGATCCCCGCGGTGTCAGAAACCAGCGCCGGGGTCGACATGGCGCGAACCTGCCGTAAGCAGGCGCGCAAGGTCGCCATGCCATCTCACGTACCTGGCATCGCTCGGGCGTGTGCATTTTTCCTCGGCGAGGACCATCGAGAACCATCCTGGACCATCGAGCCAAAAAGACACGCACGACACCGAAAAATGCACGGGAAATGAACGTCCGAGCGACGGCAAGTCTTCGGGGCTCTTTGGGGGCCTTTGCCCTGACCTTCTCGGCACTCCCGGCGGGCCGCCCGGAGGCCCTCCAGAGACGCATGGCCGAGACGAGGGCCCCCCCCCCCCCGAGTAAAGAGCCACGGCAAGCGTAGGCAAGCGCAGGACCCGTTCCGAAGTTACCGCTGCCCACGCGGCTTTCGCGGCAGGCCCGCCGCGCCGGGTGCCGCGGGCAGGCCCGCCGGCACTGCGGCAGCTCCTGCGCAGTCGGACAGCTGGCTCCTGCGCCGTGGCCCGGCGGCGGCCTCCGTTTTTGGCTTCGGCCCTCCTCCTCCTCCTCCTCCTCCTCCTTCCCTCCTCCTCCTCCTCCTCCTCCTCCTCCTTCCCTTCTCCTCTCTCCTCCTCCTCCTCCTCTCCTCCTCCTCTCCTCCCTCCTCCTCCTCGCCGTCCTGCTCCTTCTCCTCCTCCTTCACCTCCTTCTCTCTTTCTCCCCCCTTCCTCCTCCTCCCTCCTCCTCCTCCTCCTCCTCCTCCTCCTCCCTTCTCCCCCTCCTCCTCCTCCTCCCTTCTACCCCTTTGGCTTCCCGAGGCCCTGCGCCCAAGCGCCCAGCGCGGCCCAAGGGCTGCCTTGACCCCCGCGTCCGAGGCGAGGTACGCGAGCTCCTTCCCGTGCACAGGCAGCTGCAGCTCCATAAGGCTGTCGAGGACGTCCGTGGTCGCGCTGCCGAGCTGCCCGGCCACCTTCTCCGTCCCGAACCCATGGATTACGCGGGTGGCGACTGACAGCATGCCGACCGTCGCATCCCAGAGGGGATTAGTGAGGAGTTGTCTCGCCAAAGAGGTGGCGCCGGCGCAGCTGGCCACGAATCGTCCCAGGTGGGTGTACCGTTCGAACATAAAAACGGCGTAGAATTGATTTCTCTGAGGTCCGCGCAGGTTCCTCGGATCGGCGTTGGACCCCCTGGCGGCGCCTCCAGCGCCGCTCCTGGCAATGACCACCAACAGAGCCGCGCAGGTGGTGCACAGGGCCCGCAGCACCCCCATGGGGAAGCCCTGCGCTCGCCCAGTCTGCAGGAGTCAGTTGCTCGCAGTTCACAGCCTCGTAGAAGTTGCGGACGTCGACCTCGCGATGGTTGCCGGCGCGATCTTGACCCGCGCGTGTTTCTCCGGCATGCTGTGCACCCAGCTTGCCACCCTCGCAGGGCTTCGGGCCGCCTCCCCCAGAAGGCGCTGAACGGGTGAGCCTGCTAGTAAGATTTGCACAGAGGCTGCCGCACCCGGCTGCAGAGCTTGAGAGGAAGAGGAGGAGGAGGAGGAGGAGGAGGTGGAGGTGGAGGAGGTGGACGAGGAGGAGGTGTTTTAGGACCAGGCGTGGTGTTTGGAGTCGAACCGATTGTCGTCGACATAGGCGTGCCAAAGTTCTGCGGACGACTCGTGTGCACCGTACCGCGTTGGCGTCCCCCATGCGTTGTCTATCTTCAACCTGCTACAGGTACGGTGTGCCGCGTTGGAGCCAGGCCTGAAGGGAGTCCAGAATGGTACGGTGCATGGACGCTGTTCTCACAGTTCCGATTGGCCACCAAACGTGGAGGCTGTGCAGTAAAGGAGGAGGAGGAGGAGGAGGAGGAGGAGGAGGAGGAGGGGACGAGGGGACGAGGGGGTGGAGGGTGGAGGAGCGCGCCGTCTTCCCCCGAGGACTGGAGCCTCGATGGCAGCCGTGTGTGGATCTCAGTTTCGGTCGACGGGACCCCGCGATCTGCCCGCTCCCCCTGCACGTCCTCCTAATCCTCTTCGTCCTCTTCCTCATCCCCATTCTCCCCACCTCCTCCTCGTCTTTCTATTCTTGCTCCCACCATGCTCCTCGGCCTCGTTCTCATCGCCTCCTCCGCTGCCTCCTCCCCCTCCCCCTCCTCCCCCTCCCTCCCCCTCACCTCCTCGACACTGCGGTCGCTTTCTCCTGACCCTCATCCTTCTTCTGTTCCCCGTGCCGTGCGAGCACGGCCTGCTTTCCTCAAGTCTACAACGCGAGCATTACCGTATCGGCCGATCGGCGCGTAGTAGGGTCTGTGTCTTCGTCTTCTCCCGTCGCCTCCCCCTCCCTCTCCTTCTCCCTCCTCCCCCTCGCACTCCCCCTCCTCTTCCTCCTCCTCCTCCTCCGCCTCCTCCTCCTCCTCCATTACCTTCAGCAGTTATTCGTCCAGGTGATCCTCCAACTGCTTACATTGGTCCCTCTTCCTTGTTCTCCTCCTCCTCCTCAACCTCCTCCTCCTCCTCCTCCGCCTCCTTCCCCCTCCTCCTCCCTCCTCCTACCCCTCCCCTCCCCCCTTCCCCTCTCCCCTCCGCTGACAGGCCACCGCGATCGACATTTGTGGACTCATCTGATCGGCGCGTAGGAAGCTCGACCAGCACGATGGCCAATTGTGAAATCGTCCCATCGTCGTTTCAAGCGCCATGCGGTTCTGGAGTTCTTGCTGGCCTTTGGCATTCATCGAGAGGCCGATTGGTCTCACTCACCTACCGTAAGGGTCGGTTCCTCTGGTCGAGTCCTTGTTGGGTATGCGCGAGGGGCATGCAAAGGTGGCGACGGGTGGCAAGGACAGGTTGCTGAAGCTCTGGCGGCACTGAAGCCATGTCCGGTGTTCCTCTTGTTCCTTCCCGCCTCCCACCCATTCATCTCTTCTACTCTACTTGTTGTTATCTCTCTCTCTCTTTCTCCCTATCCCTCTCCCTCTCGTTATGTGCCCCTCCCTATCTCCCTCTCACGCTCTTTATGTACCCCTCTCTTTCTTTCTCGCTCTCTCTCTCTCTCTCCCTCCCTTTATCTCCCCTCTTTTCTCTCTTTCGCTATCCTTCTCTCTCTCTCTCGCTGTGTCTCTTTTTCTCTCTGTCTCTCTGTTTATTCGTTTATCTCCCTATTCATGTGAAGACACACATGTATATATTCACACTGCTGTGTTGAATACTGTCGTTGGTGCCACATCTAGTGTCCCCGCAAGTGTCTACATCGTCCTCATGGTCATCCCTCGTCTCATCGTCCCTGGACTCCTTTCGTTTCTTCATTCGCACCCTTATCAACATGCAGCAATCTGTACACATACGTATAGATGTGCAGAGAGAAGGAGGATGAGGAAGAAGGTAAGGACGACTCGATTTCACCTAAAAGGTATCGCACATCTGTATAAGGGGGAATTCCTGCATGAGAGGTTCTCCACAAAACAACTGAAGGGATACTCCCGCCTGAGAGGTCTCAAAAGGCGAAGAGGAAGAGGCTCCCGCCTGAGAGGTCCCCAAGCAACCTGACGAAGAGGCTCCCGTCTCAGAGGCCCCCAACAGACCCAGTCACATGGGGTCTCCCGTCTGAGATGCACCAAGACAATTCAACGGCAACCCCAAAAACAGCAAGTGTCCACAATGTTCGATGCTTGCGCATGCAACGTGCATCCAGCACATGATGCCTCCCTATTCATGGCACATTTGTTTCATGCATCGGGGACCCGATACTCCCTCACCTGGATCTCCCGCCCAAGAGGTTGAGCCCGCACATCTCCCGAGGCACGCCACGACCACGAGCCCGCACCACACATCAATATATTCATTGCATACTTAGGAGGCGATGAAGGGGGCTACCACATTGAAACGACTTCGCACCGTTTGATGCGTTTTGGGGGGAGGGGGTCGCGAGGTACAACGTACAATCGATCTACTGCGCGATGAGAAAAGGGGAACGGGGAACAGGGACTGCAGGGACCGCCTGGGACTGTCCTTGGGCATCTCGGGGGTGTTTGAGGGCGTTCCAGTGACTTCTTGGGAGCTTCTAGGTCCTTCTGGGCTGTGCGCGTGCGTGTCTCAGGTCATTCGGGGGCTCCTTGGGCCGCCTTGGCGCCATCTGGGGCTGTCGGTGGGTTTGTTTTCGGGCACCCGAAGGCCTCTCGGGGCAGCCTTCCGAGTTGGTAGGCGCCTCTTCCTGGCATCGCTCGGACGTGTGTATTTTTTCTCGGCGAGAACCATCGGGCAAAAAAGACACGCACGACACCGAAAAATGCACGGGAAACGGACGTCCGAGCGACGGCAAGTCTTCGGGGCTCTTTGGGGGCCTTTGCCCTGACCTTCTCGGCACTCCCGGCGGGCCGCCCGGGAGCCTTACGGAGACGCATGGCCGAGACGAGGGCCCCGCCCCCGAGTACAAAGTTAGACCTTGGCATCGCTCGGACGTGTGCATTGTTTCTCGGCGAGGACCATCGAGGAGCATCCTTGATCATTGAGCGAAAAGCGCTCACACGAAAACGAAACATGCACGGGGAATGGACGTCCGAGCGATGGCGAGAGGAGGTATCGAGCGGGAGCGCGGTTGTTGCAGAGGGGCGGCTTGCAACGCCGAGGCGAGGGCGCCTATCTTGACTGACAGGGACACATCAGAGGTCGAGCGGGAACGTTGGGTTTGGTGGAGGGCTGGTGCTCCACGGCGAACAAGAGCACCCGTCCTCAGTAATTGTCATGGCGACGTAGCTAACCAGTGCAGCTGCGCGTCGCGCAAGTCAGGAGGTACGAAGGTGGGAGGGCGATCAAGAGGGCTGGGACGTGGGTGAGAAAGACGAGGGCGAATACCGTGAGTGCGGTTGAGAATGAGACATTGGTGTAGCGAGGCGATGGTGGTTCATTTTGTTGGCACGGAACGTGTGAGGGGTGCGTCGAAACGTCCCGATGTTCTATGCGAGCGTTGCCATTGGGGCCTGCGGTGGAGATGCTCCTAAGGCCACGAGGCCCCCACCCCAGGCGTTCCCACTTCACTCACACCCTCCTCCTGGGTCGCCCAGTTGTCGGGCGCCAGAACTCAGGCCTCAGGCGGCCTTTCGGGATGATCCATTCACCCCCAGAACGCCCTCGACGAGGCGCAGCTGCTGAACCGCGTCTGCAGGCTGGCATTTCGCCGAGAATCGACGACAGCGTCAGAAAACCGTGAATTTTTAGACACTTCGCGTATCCCCACCAGTCCATCCAGAAGCCATGCCCAGGCGAGTTGTCTTGTTCAGGAATGGGGGGGAGCACCCAGTGGAATAAAGGCTAGGAAGCCGTCATACCCCAAGAGGGGGAGGATGGAGGAGGAGCCAGAGAAGGAGGAGCAGGAGGAGGAGGAGGATGAGAAGGAGAAGGAGGAGGAGGGGGAGCAGGAGGAGAAGGCGGAGGAGGAGGAGGAGGAGGAGGAGGAGGAGGAGGAGGAGGAGGGGGAAGCGGACGAGGGAGGAGGAAGAAGGGAGGAGGAGGAGGAAGAGGAGGAGGAGGAGAAGGAATAGGCGGATGAGGAAGAGGAAGAGGAGGAAGAGGAGGGCGAATTGAACGGCCAGACGCTTATTGGTTGCGTCTCCGAGTCTCCTCGGATGTCACTCGAGAGCTTCTTGGAGGCCAGTTGGGGCGTCTTGGGGACCCCTTGAAGCGTCCCGTGGGCCTCTTGAAGCGCCTTGGGTGCCTCGGGGGAGTAACCTGGGGCCTCTTGGGGGTATCCTGGGAGCCTCTTGAAGGCATTATTGGGGCATCTTGGGGACCTGCTCGGTCGTCCTGGGCGCCCAAACGCCTCTTGGGGCACTCCTGGGAGCCTTCGGGCCCATCGTGGGGGGGCCATCTTCGATAAGATAGCTGGGGGTAGTCCATATGGACGTCACCAGGAGGCCCAAATTGGCCCAAGCCCTTCGCAACATTAATAGCATTGGCCTTCTCGCCTCGCCAAGGCCATCTTGGACGCAATTATTGACGCTTCGCGTATCCCCACCAGCCCATCCAGAAACGATGTCCAGGCAAGTTGAAGAGATCAGGGAAGTGGGGGAGCAACGAGAGGGACAGCCGATCCGTGCAAAGGATGAGGCGCAAGAGGAGGCCAGATGGATAGATGAGAGGGTGGCGAGGAACCGAGCGAAGCAGGGATGAGGAGAATGATGACGCTGGGTGGATGGTTGAATGCCGCTCGGATGCATCTTGGAAGCCTTTTGGAAGCCTCTTCGGGCGTCTTGGGGGTCTCTTGGCGGTCAATGGGGGCTCTTGGGCGTCTTGGGTGCTTCGGGGGGGCCTCTTGAGGCCGCTTGGGATCCTCTTGGGGGGCTCTTGGGGGCCTGTTGGAGGCCTCTTGGGGCCTCTTGGGGGTCTCTTGGAGCTTCATGGCGGCCTCTTGGAGCTTCTTGGAGGCCTCTTGGAACCATCCTGGGAGCCTATTGGGAGCTTCTTGGGGCCTCATGACGGCCTCTTGGGGCCATCTTGGGGCCATCTTGGCGCCTCTTGGGGCCTCCTGGGCGCCTCTTGGGACCATCTTGGAGGAGATCGATCAAAGAAGAGGGTGGGGTCAATTAGCACTGCCCCCCCAAGAGGCCAAAATGGGGCCAAAACCATAGCAAAACCGATGATGTTGGCTTCCTCGCCGAGGCCGTTTTGGACGCTCTAACTACCAGCGAAACCCCCCGTCCAGGTCCAGGGGAGGGGGTTAGGGGGAGAGGTAAACCCCTCCCCGAAGGGGAAGTGGAAGATGGAAGAGGAAATTCCCGGAACCACCTACGCCCAGAGGGCTGGTGGGATTACCTCCCGTCGCCCCCCCCGTCCAGGTCCAAGGGGAGGGGGTATGGGGGAGGGGTCAGTCAAGACACCCTCCCCGCCCGCAAGCTGTCTCACTCACTCCCACCCGCCGGCTGTCTATGGATGGACAGCTACTGGGAATCAGACACAGGCCCCACGTGCGCGATGTTGAGGCGAGGTGCGCCACGCGTGCCATGCGCGCCAGGTGCGCCAGGCACCCCTGGGGCCCGAGCGTGCCAGGCACGTCTGGCGCGCCAGATGCGCCACGTGCTCCACTTGCGCAAGGTGTGTGCCATCTGCCTCAGCCGCGCCAGGTGGGTCATGTGGGGCACGCGCAGAGTGTGCCAGGTGCGCCCGCGCATGTGACCGAACACATCCGGAAACATGTCGGCCCCCGCCGTCCTCGTCGAACACCAATTCGAAATCGCGGCGGGGTGGCCATCATGGTGTGTGGTGGGCTCGCACACAGCAAGCAATATACCAGCACCCACGCCGTCTTTGACAAAATCCCATGCGAAATGACCTCGGGGTGGCCGCGCATCATCCAGATTTAGTCGCAAAGTGCACTTTGCATTTTTTGTTGATACGGATGGTGGCCCTGCGCACAGCAGGCAAGATGATAATCCCCCTGTCCCTGTTGAAAATTACGCTACCGAGGAACCCCACATACTTAATTTAAATCTTATGTGTTTACTGGAACTCCTCGACGGCAAGTACTCTGGATCAGAAGCTCGCTTGGCCGCGAATGCCTTGTACCATTTGACTGCTTTCGCATCCGCTTTCGTCAACAGGTTCTCGAGCTGAACTGATGTTCGCAGGCCTTGCGACCAAGGTACTTCTGCCCAACGGCGGTCCGTCTGAGCCAGCTCAGGGGACAGCTGAATGCGCGGGGTACCCGTGGAACGAACAGAGGTAGCAAGCAGAAGTGCTGGGGACCGCTGAGGAGTGAAGGCCTGCATGGGCGTGCACTTGATAGGCATGTCCTGCGCGGGCGTGGCAACGCCCCCGTTGCCGGCGTCGCCGACCCGCCGAAATTTCGCCAACGGCGAGCCATCGCCATCCTCCGCACTGCCCCCCGGCTGATGAGCCGGGAACCCGCCGGACGAAGGGTTCAGCAAGTATGCCACCAGG